TTTGCTCCCGGTAGGAACCTTGACTCACATTCACAGCCTCACAGAGACGCCTTCCTTGGAGTTACTACGGGGGACGTGCGGGTACGATGTATTGTATGCAGGCTTAGAGAAGACAGTGCAGGCGATTTGATGATGCCTTCACCTTGGGGGAAAGAGGGTGTGCTCTTCTCGCAACTTCCAAAACGACAACCCATCAGCCATGGCAGCAACAGTCATCTGTGCACTTGGAAAATATGTATTGCGCCGTGACCATGACGGTGCCACGTACCAACATGACCAGGACGAGTTGGTTCTACATCAGTATCTTTGCCACACTGGCTCCTTGAATACCGCTCTTGATGCCACACGCACACTCTGGCTTGGGGCAATTATACCAAACGCCTCCATATAAACACTGCAAGGGCGACTTGACGACCTGCAGCAACGCCCTGCCAGGCGGTGAGAGGGCAACGATATGGCTGACTGCGGGCAATTTTGAGCCAGTGGAGAGCATCGTTACTGGTGGTTGGAGCAACCCGTGCCCATACGACGACATGGCCGGGCCGGGAAGTGTGGCCTGCCGTGACAACCACACTCAGGGCACCAACGTGGCCCCGATGGACGACTCGAACGAATCGCCAGCTCGTGTATGCCTCCTGCAGCTCCCGTAGAGCAGGTAGGTTGGGCTTCCCGTCAGTTCTTCAGAGGATTGTGGTTGTTGGCATTTGCGTCTCCAGGGTAGGTATCGTCGGCAGCGCTGTAGATGGCAAAAACGAGAGCCAAACAAAGAGTGCCGAGGTACCACCGTTGGGTGCTGCCAGACGCTTCGCCACTGAGGACGGTCCAAACTGAGTCGCACGTAAAAGAAGAACACTAGCTTGCAACCAATCCTGTAGCAATCAATTGCTGATCATTGGTGCAATCATGAGCAATGCAACTCGCGAGTCTTCTCACAGACAAGCATGCTCAAGTTCCACGTTGGCTCTCCCGATGTCCATTGGATTCGATTCCAAAAGTCCAGTTTGGACCAGCTGGAACTATTGAATCCTTCAAGGCCAGGAGCTGGAATCCCGATGCTTGATTTCCTCTCTTTACAGTCGCGACAGCGGCGCAGGAACTGACACACTGTGTCTCCCAAACACGGGAGAGCGAGCCAGAAAATCATTCAAATCTGGCATCGTCTTGATCCCCCAATCCTCAAGGGGAATTGCCGAGATTGGTTCTTCCTGCTTTGATGTTGCTCCAGAATCATCAGTCCAGCAACAACTTTCGACGACCCACTCAAGTAGGGCCAATTGTTTCGGTTCCATCTGAAGCATCCGTCCCAGCTGCAATACAAATCCCAAGCCATACTGGATGGTATCCTTGCGGATTTGGTGTCTCAACTCGTGTGTTGTGGTTGCGACTGTACTGGGATATGGCGACCGCTCCGTCATGAACTGCCATTCCGACAAAGCGGCCCGAGTCAGTATGGGTTCCAAGATCCATCGTTGTCGCCAGATTGTCTCGTCGTCGGTTGCATTGGTTTGACGACGATGATGCAACCTTGGCAGGACATCCACCGTACGGTTCATGGTGAGATCCTCCAATAAGGAGCCTCCATTCCCTAGTAGTTGTGCGAGCAGAGACACCCGCAGAGGCTGCAATACATGTTGATCAAACAGATGATGATGATTGTTGTTGTCACCTCGCTCCGAACGTGTGCGGACAAGGAGCTGATGTAGCACCAGCAAAAGATCCTCGAGTACAGTCAATATTATGCACCCCGGGGTTGGATGCGGTTTCAAAGGACATTCTGTTTGTTGTTGGTGATGATGTTTGGAATTTGTTGGATGTAGAATGGCCAAGGTGCAAGGGAACTGAATCAGGTATGGATCTTGCAGAAGTGATCGTATCAAGGCATAAATGTAGTGTGTGGCATCTGGTGGTGAAGTCGGTGAGATGGGAGGAATAGAGAGATCCAGTTCCAGGTTTGTTTTTGGAGCAAAGATTGTTTGACAAAGCAAGCGTTGGACATGTGCCTCTTGTTGTTCGGAAAGGGGTGTAGTAGATGAAACGAGGCAAATCTGTTGTGGTTGCGTAGACGACGAGTCTCGATTGCCTGTCATGAGTACCAAGGAATCCTCGTATGAAAAGCTGGTTCGAATGGATCTGGTATTGACACTGCGAGTATCCGGTATTCGTCGACAAAACCAAAGCGGAGACGGCAAACCAATCAAAACCAAGGGGCGTATCCCCAGATTTCTTGCGGATTGGTTTTGTCTTATTTCTTGGAATGGCTGTATTGACAGGTCTTTCAATCGAACGGCTGTCTGACTTGGTGGTGTGGCAAAAGCCATTCGAGAAAGCCAATCCAGCCCTCGTAGATTCCCCAAAGAAGCAATCACAAGAGGTGGTACTCTGCTGTAATGATTGTTGGTTTGTGGCAACTTGTCTACCAGTCTGGCAATTTGTTGCCACACATTCAATGTCAAGGAAGAAGAACATCCCAACAAAATCATATCGGCCATGCCTCCGTCGTCGTGCGACAGTGGATTCTTCCTGTTGGACCTACCCCAGAAAGCATCTTCCAACCAACTGGTGTCATTTGCTGTTGGAGCATCGTGGAGAGGCCACACAGAATCGGGAGCACCCACGTGGGTAGCCCATCGAAAACTACTGCCATTGGAAACAGACTCATGAGCTCTCCAAGAGACAATTCGGCCATTGCAGGCAAAATGATGTTGCAACGAGGGAGTCACGACAACTCGTAGCACTGGCATGGGTTCGTGGGCAAACAGCGTTCGATGACGATACAGATCGCCCAGCAAGGCACACAGAGCCGCCACTGGTGCCACATCTTCCACTTGATGAACCAGCAGAAGAATCGTCCTGCTGCGAGGTTCAGCAGGAGTAGTGATTGCCGTCGCCGCCATGGTCAATGTTTCTTTGGAGGCTTCAAGTGAGTTTGCTTCATCCGTTTATGGCCTGCAAAGCTGTAAAGACTCAGAACTTCATGTTGGTGTGACGGTACCGGGACGGGACGGGACACTGCAGAAAGCAACATGTTGTGCCAAGCTACTACCGTAATAGCTGATGTTGGGCTGGCAAAATACTGGTACTACTGTAACATCCAGACAGCAACCTAGACTTAGCTACCAGTAGAAATCAAAGTCACCTGGCTACCGTATTTAGCTGCCTGATGGTGGCATGTCTACCAACTTTGACTTGACAATTTCAATGTAGTCCAAGGTCGCCTTCGTGTTGGTATGATCTGCTACCAGTTCTGGCTCCTGAATGGCAAGAGCTTCCTTGAAATTCACCAGAGCACCTTCATAGTCACCCATCCTAAACAATACAGAACCAATGTGGTGGTAGGTCAGTGCAACATCAGGACTATCTTTGCCCAGTAGCTACTGACAATTGAATGGCAGGCATTCCTTGTACTTCGGCAGTGCACCTTCAAAGTCACCCATCTTCCACAGAACAAGCCCAATATTGTTGTAGCTACTTGCCACATCATGATGATCCTTGCCCAATACTGACAATCTAGAGGCAAGAGCTTTCTTGTGATTTGCCAAAGCACTGTCATAGTCACCCATATGCTGCACTGCTGAACCAATATTGTTGTAACTGCATGCCACATCAGGATGATCCTTGTCCAATACTGCCTCTTGGATGGCAAGAGTTTCCTTGTACTTTGACAATGCACCTTCATGGTCACCCATATTCTTCAGTACAAGCCCAATATTGTTGTGGGTGCTTGCCGCTGAGAGATGATCCTCACCCAATGCTGATTCAAAAATGGCAAGACACTCTTTGTACTTTGCCAAGGCACCTTCATAGTCACCCATGTCATCCAAAAGAGCAGCAATGTTGTAGTAGGTTGTTGCCACATCAGGATGATTCTTGCCCAATAACGGCTCTTGAATTGCAATACCTTCCTTGCTATTTGCCAAAGCGCCTTCATAGTCACCCATATTCTTCAGCAACCTGCAATGTTGTTGTAGGTGGTCCATCTGTCCGTCGCACCAGCAGGCAGGCAAAAAGGTGCCTTCACAGCACAGAAGTAGACGTTCATTTTTGGTGAGGTAGCATCCAAAACAATGACAACGCACACAGAGCTCTCCTTTGAGTGCCCACGTTGCTGCATACGCGTCTGTCTTCATCCAGTGATCTTGGTCGCTTGGACGAGACGAATGCAGCTTTGACTATGTCCCTTCAAAGAGCCATTTGGGATTGCCTGCCCGCAAACAGTGCCGCCAATGCGCTACAAGACGCCACTACACCGATGCTTTCTAATGTGCCTTGAGCCGCTAGCTACCTAGTTAGCTAGCTAGATTCCCTTATTAATTAAAGGTATCGGTATACTTCTAGCTAGGGATTTCATATCTATCCTTCAGTTCTCCCGCAATCTGCAACTTCCTCTGTCCGAATGATTGCCGCCTCCTGATCATGAGAATGATGAATCGAATCATGCGGTCAGAGACAGATGCACCTCGTCAACTTTAGTTGCAATCGCTGCCGCTCTGATGGCTTCTATGAAACAAGAAACGGATCGACGGATCGCTTCGACGACCACGACACATCTATGCTACCCAACCGGAGGTAAACTCGGCAGATAGAACCGTAGAACGATGATGATGTCTACCCCCGAAGATACATGGGTCAATGTTACCTGGATGCCGCATGCGTCGCTGGCGCAAACGTCCCATGTTAGCTTGCTGGTACGGTCATCTCATGCTTCACTGAACAACCGATTGTTTGACAGACAAAAACCAAAAGAGTGGAAGATCCGAACAACGGTCCATGGTGCTGGCGGCATTCCGTTGGTAGCCATCTCATCTACCACTCCCAGTGCGCATGTGTTTTTGCGACAGAAATCAGAGACAGGCGTGGTACCCAAGCCACCCTCTGTGGCAGAAGCAAGTCATGATTGTATCTGGAATCATGTCGTCCAAGTACCCGTGCGATGGCGAGATTTGCCGCGAGATGCCTACCTATTGTTCGAAATGATTGATCACACGGGACAACGTCTCAGCCAGGCGAAAATGCAGTTCTTTTCCCAACATGGCAGATTGTCCACCGGCTTGATTCTGCTGGATATGGTGGAAGATCCGTCCCATCAAAGCAACAACAGCACTACTACTAATATCCCAACCGAGTCGTCAGATCACGAAGAAGATGCTGTTTGGAAGGCATCCATGATGCTAGATAAATTGGAAAGTTTAGAATCCTCACGGTCAGGATCACTGGCAGCCACAGCAGCCGATAATCGCAAAGTTTTTGGCCGTGTGCAAAGCACTTCCTGGTTGGATGCCATCAGCAAAGAATACTGCCACACTGTGATTGCCTCGGCTTCCAAAACAACAAACAGTGCCTGTGACAACAACTCGGCAGCGAAATGGAAATTGATTGTGGAGTTTCCAGTCTTTGATGTACCCGTCATGCACGAGGAGAGTTTCTATCCAGTACCGCAACAATCCGCATCCGGTGCCGTGTCAGCGCTGGACTTGTCTCTCTATCGAAAAAGTGTTGCAGCTGCACCTGACAATAACGAAACAAAAACACAGTTTCATCCGTTGCAACTTGTCAACTATGTGGATTATGAAAATGAAATGGACAATCCTGTCGAAGACAAGTATCGCACTCTGGCACATGATTTGCTGCGGGGATTGGTGGATCCAGCACTCAAACCAGACCGAGAACAACGGGATCGATTGGCAACCATCATTGCTTCACCGTCCCATCACCCGACACGAGAAGAAAAGGATCTACTCTGGAGATTCCGATTCAGTTTGGTGGACAATCAGCGAGCACTCACCAAATTCTTGTTGGCTGTGGACTGGACCGTAGAAAGTGAAGTGGTGCAAGCGGCAGAACTTTTGGAGCAGTGGAGGCGACTGGATATCCCAGATGCGCTCAAGTTGCTCGGCAAGCATGTGGCCTTCCAAACAAACCTCGTCAGGACATATGCCATTGATACATTGGCCACGGCTCCAGATGTGGAGCTACGACTTTATTTGCTGCAGCTGGTTCAAGCGCTCAAGTACGAAACCAACATGAGAACACCCACAACAGGTCGAAAAGGGGGTGCTGCCGAAAACAACAACAATTCATCTTCCAAGATTTCTTCCCTGGCATCATTCTTGATTGGACGTGCTGCTGGAAACTTGCAGCTCGCGAATTATCTATATTGGTATTTGAAGGTTGAGCTCAAGGATCCTACGCACGGGGCCAGATATCAAGAAGTCTTCTCAGCTTTAAAGGCAAGATTGTCAGAAACCTATGCATCGCATTCCGCTGCCAATACAGAAATGCTGGGTTCGTCCTCAGGAGGAGGCGGTGATTCCAAATCATCGTCCAAATTCAAGGCAATTGTTAGTTCTGTCTCATCCACAGTGTCCTCCAAGCTTGGATCGTCCCTGCGGGGATCATCAGAGAGTGGGCCGGGTGGAGATCGATCCAAAAAGCATGCACAACCTAGGACATATTGGGACATTCTTGTGGAACAAGATGAGTTCATTAGTGGACTAATGGCTCTTCAAATGAAGTGCCGCGATGTTAGAGGGAAGAAAGATGTCAAAGAAGCACAGTTGCAGTCTCTTCTGTCCTCTGAAGGCTACGATAGGAACCCCCATCGAGACCCCGTTCCATTGCCATCAGCGCCGCATGTCTTTGTGAACGGAGTCAAACCAGACACTGCGAAAATGTTCAAATCGGCCTTGTATCCAGCCCTGGTTGATTTCCACGTTGAAACAACTCTCCCGATGATTGGAGAAGCCGATCTTGGAGGTGCTCCTGCTAGCAATACACCTTCGTCGGCACGTGGAAGCCCCAACAACATTGGAACTTTGGATCACCTTTCCCATTTCAAAGTGATTGTCAAGACAGGCGATGACTTGCGACAGGATCAACTGGTTATTATGCTGGTTCAGCTGATGGATGGGCTGCTGAAACGAGCAGCTCTGAACCTCTGTCTCTCGCCATATAGTATCATTGCAATGTCACCCACCTCTGGCTTGGTTGAATTTGTGGACGGGTCCATGCCAATCTCTCAAGTCTTATCCAAATACGGGTCCGTTCTGCAATTCTTTCAAGAGATTGCTCCCCAAAAGGGTGCAAAGTACGATGTCAGACCTGATGTGATGTCTACCTATCTGCGCTCTGTTGCCGGCTATTGCGTCATCACATATCTGCTTGCTGTGGGAGACAGACACTTGGACAACATTTTGTTGGACTCATCGGGACATTTCTTTCACATTGACTTTGGCTTCATCCTTGGTCGGGATCCCAAGCCACTTCCACCCGCTTTCCGCTTAACTCGCGAGGTACGTCATGCCAATCTGATTTGAATCGTTTACTTCCAGCGCTGGGCTCACAAATGAATAAATGTCCGTTCCTGTTGGGTTCTCTGTTTCGAGTAAAGATGGTCGAGGGAATGGGAGGCTTGGAATCGAGCGAATATCGGCAGTTCTGTTCTTTGGCATGCCAAGCTTTCAACGCACTTCGAAAGAGTGCAGGGCTCATTTTGAATCTGCTACATCTCATGAGTGATGCGGGCATTGAAGACTTGTCCAACAACCCTTCTGCGGATGCCGAAGGTGTAATTGCAAAGGTAGAAGAGCGGTTCCGTCTGGAGCTGACGGATGAACAAGCAGAACGCTTCTTCATTGGACAGATCAACGATTGTTTGTCTGCTCTCGCCCCTCGAGTGATGGACGTCTTGCATTCATTGGCGGTAGCTCGTCGTTGACGCTCTAGCTGCAGCTCCTATTCCCTATACATTAAATCTATCATTAGTGCAATGTCCCATTTTAAAGAGCCCAGCCATATAGCTGCCGAAACCTCTCACGGTAGGGCTCTGGCTTTGGGCACCTTTCAAACGAACTAGTATCATCTTTATTGAACACGGCTTCTCCATTCGCCTTCTTGTACATCCGTCGCAACCCATGCAAGTCTTGATGTCCCAGCACTTTGAACTTTACAAGGCTGTATATATAGAGTAGAAGCGACTCTGGGTTGCGAACTGCATGAGGGTCATAAACCTTGCCCTGACGCATAATATCCAGTGGTCGCTGAAAGTACTGTCAATCCAAAGTCAGTGCAAGATTAGAGGGTGTAAGCGTACGCTCAGTGAGAAACCTGGCCTGTGGAAGACACAATGGAAGTTGTCGACACCCACAACAACTTACCGCTCGTGCAATATCGGGAGCGACAATGGCAAATCGGTCGTTCATGCCAAGCCAGCTGCGGCATTTTGTGACAATGATGCTTCCCTGGGGAGGTGGAAAAGTAACATCGAAGAGCGCCTTTCGTTTTGATTTTGTGCCATCAAGAGGGGCCTTGAAACCGATGTCTTCACGAATCCTGATAATCGCATCATAGTAGGCTTCGAGTGTACTTGATGCCTTGGCAGCTGCGGCATCGGCGTGTTCCAAGCACTTGTGATAACTGTCGAAGATTCTCATGTGGTTCTTGGCTCTAACGATTTGATCCTCGTAGCTGCGGTGATGTTTTTGCCCTCCGTGTAAGATATTTACATAGTCTTTGCTCACGGACGGGTTCGCCCAAGGTTTGTGCGGCCCGTCTCGGGTCACTACGTTGATTTTGTGCTTTGTGAGGTCGCTCACTGCTTGTTCGAAACTCGTGTAGAAAGGAAAATTGGATTTTTTCGTATTGGTGTTGGTGAATCTTGCCTCTCCGGCGCTCAATGCAAGAGCCAGGTCGATCTTCCATCCGATTTTCTGAAGAGGCTGGAACACGTTGCGGATCTTGTTCTCTAGCTCCACTCGCTCAAGTTGACCAGTGATGCATACGAAAGCTCTCTTTCTCTTTTCATCCCCATTTCCTGCTTCCCTGGGACCTCCTGACAACTCGTCGTCAGAAATCAATGGAGGGAGTGAATGTGGTCGAATCACGTTCCAGTGCAATTCTGTTTGGAGTTTTGCAAAAAAGTCAGACTCCAAAGCCTCAACTGCTGATTCGGGAGGTTCACTGCTTCCAACGTCAGCGGTTTCAGCAGGCAGGAAATGCTCGACATCTTGCGGCAATCGAGAACAAAACCTAGCCTTATATTCGAGGTCTCTTTCACATCTGGAGAGGGAAACCAATGGCGGCATGGACGCAAAAAGTCTTCGTTGGTCCCACCCGAGCAACGCATCCATGACAAAAGCTACCCATACGGCATCGGCGTCCGCGTAATCTCTAAAGTTCTCTTCAAATTGAAACAGATGATCCATCAGCCATAGGTTCGAGTCGAAAATGACTCCACCGAGCTGACTAACGGTGAATGAGATCTCCTTTTCTCCTTTGGAAAAGGTTCCTGCAGCTAAATGTTTCTCCGTCAGCTTTGAGTTCGTCAACTCTGCGACGCCAGTTTTCTCGTGGTGTCTAGTGAAGGTCTTGCCGTACCAAGCGGTGATCGTCTTCGGTTGGTGTTTCTTCTTTAGAATCTCGATGAAACTTGATGACCAGTACTGGTCGTTGTCTAGAAAGATGACGGTGTCCAGCTTTTCTTGTGATCGAAGAGTTCGAACGTAATGAAACCTTGCAAACGTGTTCAATTGGCCCTCAGTGCTCGCGACAGTTACACGCATTGTTTGATAGCCATTGAAACGCGCCTTCTGGGTTTGCTTGAAACTTTCGACAGTGTCATCCACCCAAGTAGAGTCATCGGTATTCTCCTTCAGCAGGTGAAGTTTGATCATTCTCTTCTGAGCGATTGTCTGACCCTGAAGCCACTCCAGCTGCCGACTCAGTAAATCAGCGCTTCTGGGTTGCAACATAATCATCGTCGTTGGGCTGTTCCATCGAGAAGAGGATTCCAGGCTCATGATCTGCTTGAAATGGGCATGGGACTCCCTCGACGGCAGGGGTTCATATCGCCGTGCGATTGGCTGCGAGATGAATCCCAACCGATCCATCTTTGCCCTATCCAGCATTCGGAGAAAGTAGCCACGATTTGCCGGTTCTATCAACCATTCGCCGCTCTTGTGGGTGAAATCCTGGATGGAAACATCTTGGAGCAAGTGGGTTTTGAAACTCCACGGCCCCCCGAAGCACCATTTCGGTTTCTTTTTGCGGGGTTGAAACTTGTTCGATTCAAAAAAGTCTCTGTCAATGTCGGAGCTGGGGTCCGCATTCTTGTCGTCATAGGACCCATACGTTAAGATTGCCCCTTCGGAAACAAACTTTTCGTTGATTGTTTCAAGGGCATTCGTCATTACAAGCTGGCCTTCCAGGACCATCATGATATCATTTGGACCAGCGTAATTCTGGACCATTCGAAGAGCCCAAAAGATCGAACCACCAGGATCGATCGGGGTTCGAAATCGCACTCGAACCAAGGAAGGGCCAGCCTTTGCTGTTTGGTAGGTTGACATGTAATGCAGAAACTTTTCCTTGGCGTGATCGTTTAACTCGTTCTCGTTTGAGACACCACCAAATTTGCCATGTAATTTGATCTTTGCCGGTTTGAATTCGAGCACGTTATTATGCCCACTGTCCAGATTGAGATCCTTAATGCTAGTGGCCTCGTTCTGCTTCGACCCATAATCGAAGGCGTAGATCATTACTTTTGCGACTGGATAGTGCTGACATGCCACGGAGCAAATGGATTGTTGCATTGTCTCCAGCGGTTTATTGTAGAAAGGAAGAACCACGTGAATTGTATGGCGTGCTGCTCTCGGGCAGAGCGGTCGTTGTTTAGAGAGATAATATGGGACTCTTTCACTGAGCCAATCCTCAATGGTCACATTGCTAGAAGTGGAGCACAGATCCGTCGGCATGGTCTTTGGACACTGACATTGGGTCCTTAGACTCGTTGGATCCTCGTCCATGACCTCTTGTACAACCGGTGGTCTCCATGGTAGATACACGGTAGAAGTATCCACAAGTCGATTCGCCCATTGCCGTAGTGCCTTTGCATCCTCGCTCCACATGGGATCAAACGGCGAGGAAGTCCTCGAGGGCACATGTTTCCATTTTCCAGTGGATACCGTCACATTACTTTGGTGCAAACCCAGGCCAATCTGTAGTTCACCATCCAACTGTCGCAAAACACGGAACCAGTCATTGTTGGGACTCGATGTTGCATCTATTCCTGGGGCCATTTCCCTGTTCCATGGATAATCGAGCCCTTTTCGTGATCCCCATTGAATAATATCTTGATACGGTGCGACGCCCGGAGGTGATATTTCCCAGGGGTTCTGATGATCTGTTGTGTCCCCTAATCCCCTTGAACAAGAGAACTCTTTTAGCGTATTGTTGGTTGGCTTGTTCACCCTGGCCACTGTTGTTTGCGACCACCAATAAAACGTGCTTTCGTATCTGCTTCCCATGGTTGAATTTTCAATGGGAGGAGAAGGCGACCAGTGTTCAATGACATTACCTCGAATGATGGATACACTGCGAGCAGAGTGTTTCTGTAGAAACCGTCCGGCATGCAAGGAGAAACAATGCTGAGACACCCACACTCACACCCACAGACGCATCCACCACTGTTTTTCCACTTACCGTATGTTGAAACAACAATCCTTGATCATTATTGGCCCCGGGGAAATTCAAGTATTTTCCGGATCCCTGATCAATGGCACGCCAAGCATATGGTCCATCTCCCCATCCCCGTTCGGCTCGAAAGCCATGACGAATCCCTTGCGAACTGGCATGCGGAGGGATGAGTTTGGCCAGATTCCACAGTTTCCCCGGTCCCGGAGTCAAGACAAATATTTTGGACGACGCCGGTGTATCGCCAATGCTGACAATGACATTGTCGCGTAGCACGCCCTGGATGCTGAGTTCCATGAGGTAGTCCAAATTGCAGCGGGGTGTAATGTCGGCATCCATGTACAGCACTCGGGCATAGTCTACCAGATCCAAGATTCGAAACTTTTCGACGGGGATGGTACTGATTTCATTAACGGCATCGTAGGGTGGTGGACAATACTTGAGGATGATGCCCATTTGACGAATGAGTCGTACATCTTGATCTGGCAAAACCACATCGGGCTCGGTCATTTGTACCAAGAGCACAAAATCCGCCTTGGATCCAGCATCTCGTAGTATTTTGACCGACACTAGTATATTGTACAAGAGACCTCGATAGGCATATCGGGGTGTCGTCAAGGGCCCTCCTTTTCCCCGCCGCCCCAAAGCCGGTTGGAGTGTCATGGAAGTGTTGGAAGGCGGTGGTATTCCTCCTAGAAAAAAGGCGTAGGCGATTTTTGTGGGTGGTTCTTTCCGTCGTTTTTGAGCCGAAGGTGGCAGTGGATTGTCAACGATACTATCCGTCTCTGTGTCGGAAAAGTTATTTCGATGTACGACTCCTGACTTGTCAATTTTGGCCAACAGCATTGGCGGTCGATCTCGAGCGGATGGGATTTCGTCACGTGAATCATCTCGTTCCTCATTATCAGTATTATCATCTGCAGACATTTCAGCAGTCTCGGTGGTAGTAGTGGAAATTTCACCTGCCGCGTTTTTGTGAACTCCTGCCTTGTCAATCCTGGCCAACACTTTGGGCGGTCGTTCTTGAGCAGCAAGTTTGGTACTAGAAGCAACGTCCACAGCCACATCAAATTCGGTTGGATTTTGCAGTTCTTCCCACGAGAGACCCTTGTAGAATTTCATTTGGAAAAACGTCACCACTGCTAGGGATCCAAAGACCATGAGTAGGACCAAGCCACGAATACTCTGGAACCAAGAGGTGGTCCTACGCCCTCCTTTGGGAGAGACCGTGGCCTGTTGTAGTTGCATCGATCCATTGTTGTTCTTGGACATGCCGGCAAACTTTTAAACAAATTGAAACCAAGCGTCTGAATGACAGAGTCTTCCAGGTATAGAGTGATCGTGTGTGGGAAGAGAAGCAAGGGTCTCCACAGCAAGTCAACAAGTCCATAGGATGGATCCGCATCCACAACAATGATTTTGAGCATCCGAAGCGAACACGTTGTCGCGATTGTTGTCCTGGTACAGCGTACTGTACCGCTTCATTACGCGACTAAAATTGCTTCTTCATTCGTGCTTTTCTAAGTCTACACCTCGCCCTAACCCTTTTGCACTTTCGAATACGGCTCAAAATGTGTTTTATTCTCGCGCTCGTGATACCGGAATGAGGTACAGTCGTACAGCCGCAGAGTGTGCAAGTGATGAATGATCCTTACATGTTGACCACCCTTGAATGCTGGATCTCTGAAGCTTTTAAAATTCGTACGGTGCGGTGCGGTGCGGTGCGGTGCGGTGCGCAGGTATAAAAATCGTCAACAAAAATTCTCTGCAAAATACTAAAAGACTGTCCACTGATAATTCAGAGGGAATACTAATACAACACTAAAAGTGTTCGGGGGAAGTGTTCAGGAGAAGTGTTCGGGAGCAGTGTTTGAGAGAAGTGAAACCAAATTTGCAGAGGAATGCGATTCTCGGCTTGCCTTTTGATCAAAACCGGTAACCACGAGCGGTCTCCACACACCCGACGAACATTTGGTATTCGAGAAATCACGAAAGCCCCTGAATGGCAACGGAGGACGTCTCCAACAAACAAAAGAAAACTTGAAAAGACAGCAGATTGCCCACCGAGGCACCTTTCAAGCTTTCCACGGCAAAGTCACTGTTCGTTGAGGTCTCGAGTGATTGCAGAAAGCTCACCCGTCCATTGCAAAACCAGCTTGGAGGTCCTTACAGCCGGGTGGATCCATGGCCGCGAAGTGAAGGCAGAAGGAGTCGCCGGCGGTAGGGTGCGCCTCGCCCCTGGGTTACCGCGAGTCAGGGGGAGACTATCGCGAAGCTCAAGAATTTCTTGGACGCGCTTGGACTTACAAATAGACCAGGGGCTGATGCCGGATAGCTTATTTCATTATCGTCTTCGCATAATTAGCTACTGATAAATCAGCAAACGGCAGCAATGCACGTTAGCAATGCGATAGAAAAAAGATAGGCCAGAAATACCCGACCGTTCCCTGCCTGGAAGGGAAGGCACCCCAGCAGCAAACGTCTTTGTTAGCAAGGATGCCATAGAAAAGAGATGGGCCAGAAATACCCGACCGTTCCCTGCCTGGAAGGGAAGGCACCCCAGCAGCAAACGTCTTTTCTCTATTCCCTTCCTGGAAAGGAAGGCGTGGAGACGGTTGATGCCCTGTGGAGACCGAACATCAACAACCAGAGCAATTGCAAGCAACCTCCCAGCGACCGTCCGCAGGAGGCGAGGAGCAACACAAGGAGACAGACCAGGAAATAAGCAAAAAACAGCAAATCAAAAAGTTCTGCTAGTAGCGAATTACAAATTGGATTGAGAGACCCTAACGGCCCAACCCACAAGGCTCCTTCTCTTCCATCTAAAATGTATTTGATGTATTTGATCAGTTGCTGTTGTTGTGTCTAATCGATTTTTAGTCAACCTGTTCCATGGCGGATTCTTCGTTGTCGTCGTCGCCATCAAGAGGAGGCAAGTCATCGATGTCGGCATCGTCGTCGCCATCATCATCGTCGTCAATGGAAAGACCCAACTTGACCAAACGGTGGATACGACTGGCAAAGGTACTGGGCTCATCCAAGGAGAAACCAGAGGTGAGCAAAGATGTGTCGTAAAGGAGCCAAATCAAGTCCTTAACAGTCTTGTCGCTTTGGTCGGCGTCGGCCTTTTCACGGAGGGCCACAATGATGGGGTTCTGTGGGTTGATCTCCATGGTCTTCTTGGCGGACATGTAGGCAGATTGAGATGAGTCACGGAGAGCTTGCGCCTTCATGATACGTTCCATGTTAGCAGACCATCCGAACTCGCCCGTGACGAGAACACAAGGAGAGTCAGCAAGACGGTTGGAAACAACAACCTTCTCAACCTTGTCATCAAGGACTTCCTTCATGAGCTTGCAAAGACCCTCGGCCTTGCCCTTGGCTTCCTCAAAGGCGGCCTTCTCTTCTTCGTCCTCAGCCAACTCGAGGCCTTCCTTGGTAGCACTGAGAAGCTTCTTGCCTTCAAATTCCTTCAATTGTTGGACGGCATATTCATCAATGGGGTCAACCATGAACAAGACTTCGTATCCCTTCTTACGGAGCTTCTCAAGGAATGGAGAGGACTCGACAGCCTTCTTGGATTCACCAGTGACGTAGTAGATTCCGGGCTGCTTGTCGTCCATGCGGCTAACGTAGTCGTCGAGGCTGGTCATCTCGTCTCCGCTGGTGGTGGAGTGGTATCGCAACAACTTGGCCAACTTGGCACGGTTGGTGGAATCCTCGTGGATACCGAGCTTCAAGTTCTTGCAGAAGGCTTCGTAGAACTTCTTGTAGGTGTCTTCGTTTTCTTGCAATCCGGTGAACATTTCAATGCACTTCTTGACAAGATTCTTCTTGATGACCTTCAAAATCTTGTTTTGTTGAAGAGTCTCACGAGAAATGTTCAATGGCAAATCCTCCGAATCCACAACACCCTTGACGAACTGCAACCACTCCGGCATGATATCTTCGCAGTTGTCCATGATGAAAACACGACGGACGTAAAGCTTGATGTGGTTGTGCTTCTTCTTGTTGCCTCCCTCGAACATGTCAAATGGAGCACGCTTGGGGCAGAAGAGAATGGCCTTGAATTCGAGCTGACCTTCCACGGAAAAGTGCTTGACGGCGGCGTGTTCTTCCCAGTCATTGGAGATGGACTTGTAGAAGGCAACGTATTCATCGTGAGTGACCTCATCGGGCTTTCGCATCCAAATCGGCTTCATGTTGTTGAGATGCTCCCATTCGTGGGAGACTTCCTTGATCTTTTTGGTCTTCTTTTCCTTCTTGGCTTCTTCCTCATCATCAACCTCTTCGACCTTGGGCTTGTCGTCATCGCCCTCTTCCTCTTCGTCGTCATCATCGTCGGTGACCTCCTTTTCGGTGGTCTTTTCAGTGTAAAGCTTGATGGGGAATCCAATGAATTCAGAGTGCTTCTTGACCAAATCCTGTTGAGCAAAAAAATAATGGTGGTGAGTTGGAGTGGCACAAAGGACGAAATTTTCCGAATGGTCTCATGACTAACATACCTTGAGGCGACGCTCTTCCAAGTACTCGGACATGTCCTCCTTCATGCTAAGAACAATGCGGGTTCCACGCTTGATTCCAGCATCGGGGGCTTTGTTAATGGTGAAAGAACCACCGGCTTCGGACGACCAAAGGTGGATATCAGGGTCCGAGTTGTTCTTGGAGAGCACTTCGACCTTGTCGGCAACCAGGTAAGCGGAATAAAATCCGACACCGAATTGACCAATCATACTGATATCGGCTCCAGCAGTCAATGCCTCCATGAATGCCTTGGTTCCGGACTTGGCAATAGTTCCGAGATTGTTGACCTATAGTGATTGATTGAATAAATGCGGGTCGTGAGTTATCATGGTCATTGCCGAGAAAAGGAATTTGGGTATAATAATAATCGAAACGTACCAAGTCGCTCTTGGCCATACCGATACCGGTATCCTCAATGGTCAAAGTGTTGTTGGCCTTGTCGGCGATCAGCCGAATTTCCATCTCTGGTTCGGCATCGAGGACGGAAGAGTCAGTCAAGGACTGGTAGCGGATCTTATCCAAAGCATCACTGGCATTGGAAATCAATTCACGAAGGAAAATCTCCTTGTTGGAATAGAAAGTGTTGATAATCAACGAAAGGAGCTGATTGATATCAGCGGAAAAGGCATAGCTTTCGGCTTCAGCGGACTAAACAAGTGAAGAGAAAGATAAGCAACAGGTGAGTGGTCATTGGTCATCGGAATAGATTAATCAGATCAAACACGTTCCGATTGTTCATCGTGTCAAAAATCAGTCTGCCACCTCCCGCCAACGCCAAGGACACCGCCACCACTGATACAACATACACGCCCGATACAGAAGACCAGCCCCCAAGATAACTCACCATTGTGGCAATAGTTTTGTATCAAAAAATCAAAAGAAAGGCAAAGAATTTTTCAAAGCAATGCGAGAAATTGGTTTTTGGTTTTATGAGACTTTGGACGATCTTTCTTCATTGGGTGGCAAGAACCCTGGTGGGGACGAAAACCCAGTTTGAGTTGGTACACTTTCTACGCTGTCACACGATTGGAATTCCCCGACGAAGGCAAGACGATGCACGACGAAGGCCACCGAAAGATCTCCGTACCAAAGCTCTGTAGATTCTACAGAATCGCGGCGCTGTGGATCGTGGAGCCGGGCAGGTTGTGTGCCAATGCCACGGAGAACAATCGATCACTTTCGAAGAACTAATCGACGAGCGAGTCCCAGCCGAGGTTTAGCGTGAATGATAATCGAGACAGTTCGATTTGCTTCGAATTCTTTTTTGAACCCAGTCCCAAGTCGATGGTTAGTGGGAGTCGAAGCAATTCGAATTGATTGAATCGAATCGAATCGAATCGTCGTGGTCCTCTTGGTTGGGAACAAGGGCGGAGATACATGCAAAAGGGCACGGCACCGAGGTTTTGATTTGGTAGTTTAGTTATGGACTGACTCCTATGGAGAGGGGCCAGGCTTAGGCAAAGAAGAGGTGGCATTCGGCTTCTTGGTTCAGTGGGATCAGGGGCTACAAATTGAGGACCAAAATGGGGGCCTAGTAAGGGCTTGAGTTAGCTGGATCCACTGAGACAGCCATAAATGAGTGGCTCCTCGAACAAGGGCAATGGAGAGTTGGGTCTGGATGAAAAACATCATTTGGGAAGAGTCTAGGAAGACTGAGCCTTCACGAACAAGGGTACTGAGCTTTCATGAGGACATCTAGCTAGCTAGCTCGAGCCTGGTAGAGAAGCATTTTGCTCCACGCCATAATCTACGGTAACAAACCAAGCGAAAAGACGAGTAATCCTTTTGCAAAAAAATTGATTGCGAGGCAACAACTGACTGACTGCAGGACCCCCTCCCCGGACCAGCCAACCCTAGGACCAACACTGTCTACGCAGCAGGACACACCGCTTGTGGATGAAGAACGACGGGAAGCAGCCCCAATCGTCCTGGATGATGCGTCCTGCTGATAGAGAAACCAGGGGTAGTAGACCCAATCACTCGTCCTGGATGATGACCCCGTCGTCATAAAGCAAGTATCGACTCGACTGCACCAACACATTCGAAACAGCTCTCTCTTGAACACCCTATCAGAGTCTACAGTCGCATACCTCGCTCCCTAGAAAATGTTCTATACAATTAAGTAGTCTATTGGAATCAAAACGAATCCATTTCCAAGGGGAATAGTTTGGTTTTGGAGTAGCATCATAGAGAAATTAAGCCTCGAAGAAGGGCTTGTTGTCTTCGATGGATTTTCCGGACCAGTCGTACTTGGTCTTGACGAAATCGTGTCCACGTCCATCTTTCTTCAACCAGCTGCCTCCCTCGGAGGTTCCTCGCCTGAGGTAGAAGTCAGTGAAGTCTTGGAACTTGCCGGCCTTGGCAACATTGCGTTGGTAGTTGGCGGCCTTCTTGGCGGCCTCGTTCTTTCGGATGGAGTTGTATTCAGATGCAGACAAACCATCGGGAACGTATCCTCCAGAACCAATGTCCTTGGGGGTAAGGTTCTTGGAAGCACGGGCTCCGTATTTGTTTCGGTCCGACTGGTCTTTCCAGAGATCCATGTTGACGATCTAGAAGAGAAGAAAAGAGGGATGCAGATGAGTCGACATGTTGCTTCCTTGCGCGTGCGTACTTGGGAAATGGCAGAAGTCCTGGCTCAGAATGAAGTTGAGCAAATTAAACTTACATCGTCGAACAGAGAGTTCACGGCAACACTGGTTCGGGGGCTAGCATTGTTGGGAGCAAATGCGCTGGCAACAGCCAACAAAGCCACAAGGAAAGCAACAGACTTCATCATCTTGATTACAACTGAAATTTCTGATCGATTCACGAAAAGTGGGAACTTCGAGCGATGTTACCAGCAAGCACTCACGCACCCACATCGAGGACGAAGAAGAAGGACTTCAACGTGATACAGCAGCAAAGACATGACGCTATGGGCGGCTCTTCCCAGATTGTAAGTTGAAGAACGTAAGATTTGTCTCTGACGTCAACACTCGTGGAAAGATACCGCTCCAGGAGCAATCTGATTGGTTGAAACTGTCATCGTGGATGTTTGCAAATGGTGGAAGGTCGACGTGGAAAATGAGAAGATTCAAGCCAACTGGTCGGCGAATGGAGCAGCTGGGTGGGAGAGAGTCGAGTGACTCAGTCGAGTGACGAGATATCTCGAGAGGGAATTAGAGAATTCTCCACAGCGCCCTTTCCGAGCTACGGTATCGTTTAGTCGTGGCAACATGCTAGAACGGCAATAGCATAGCTGATTTAAGTATAGCGTTAGGATTATGTTAGCACATACAGTGCGCCATTAGCAGTGCGCCTAGCCTGCTTCAAGAACGTCTTCTACCCTCTTAATAGCTATGTTGGTAGCTGACAAGCTCTATTGAGGTCTTCATTGCTGTTGTTTTAGCATTGGCAGTTGGACGGCTACATCATTGCCGCTTCGCGCACTGATGATTCAGTACCGATCGCACGTGACTGATCATTTTTCTTCATTTCGCTGCAAGATTTACCTGAAAACTCGACAATGGCGCCTTCTACTGGTGGAAATGGTAGTGCAACGCCCCCTAACAATGGCAATAGACGTATCAATACCCATGCAACTCCACTGAGAAGTGTGGTGACTCGCAGATCTCCTCATTCCAGCTCAGTTTCAGAAATGACGACGCCTTCACGTCAAACAGAATCTTCCACCGAGACTGAAGTTTCAACAGCAGATCCAGTTCAGTTTGAAGCAGACTATGATAATGCTCGCCATGCAGAGAATGCAGGAGCCCCTGATTCAGAGGATGAAGGGGAAGGGCCTGGCAATAATTCTATCATGAGAGAAGAGTCTACAGAAAGGAATGAGCACTCGGCTGAAAACATGGCAGCAATTCCAGATGAAACCGATTATGTTCCAAGTGAGGATGTCTCTCACGAAAACCGCAATGTAATAGAAGGTGCCCCCCCTGGATGGAAAGCACCAGGTCCTCCAATCGGATGGAAGATGGCAAAAGTTAGGAAAGAAAAGGGCGAACCAGATTTTGAGGAAGTGGACAATCCAGGTGGCTGGTCATCTTATGTTTACACTGCCAAGTTTCGGAAACCAAGGAAGAACCAAGATAAGAAGACGTATGCTTATCATTCGCTTCCCACCGGAGCGACGCCCGTGCCATTGCAAGAAGCTACAGGTAAAAGAGAAAATCACGGATATGAATTTCACTACAATGGTTGAAATGGCATGGAAAATCCTCAATTTGCCAAGTGTCGACATGGTGCTACAAGAGAGAACATGTTCCCCAAAGAAAGAGGTGGTCATCTAGATGTGGACAAGCTCAAAAGTTTGGGCCTCACCAAGGAACGAATGATGGAGGAAGATGGCAGCCCGGATGCTTTATTCTTTCATCAACTCCTCCTTCCCATCGGTGATCCATCAAGATCAGGTGTAGATGGTGATCCTCGCACCGGATTCTATCACAATGTTTCAATGTGGTCTAATCTTTATGGAATAGGAGAGCTTGGACTTGGTGCTGACTACCGCCATGAGTACAAGTTGACAAATGCTGCAGAGCTCATTTGATGGGATGGGATTGTGGTGATGGATGGTGTCCATGGTGGAAGCTCTGGTGCTTTGATGCGTCGGTTTGACAAAAGGGAAGGTAACACCGCATATTGTCCTTTCGTCAGTTCGGCCTTGACCAAAACCAGATGGTTGGAGTTGAAGCGGGTTTACAAGCTTTGTGACAACAAGACAGTTCCAAAGAAAGGTCAAGATGGATACGACCCTGCTTATAAGTTTGACTTCATCCGTCTAAGAAGCATCGAATGACCAAACACACGAATCAAGTAGAAGGGTGGTCGTCAATTCTAAATAAATATGCAGATTTTGAGTGCACCGTGAAAATCATGACGTAATGCTTCTAATTATAATTAGTCTTTTCAGAAATTCTTAAGGCCTACTCTAGAATACAATGGGTGGGGAACACGGAAAGTGCCCCCGGCCAACTTTGTCGTTAGGTCATAAATCCAACACCTATTTCAACCACAAAATCGCAGAAAAAGGCCAA